AAAGTATGGACTAGAAAATGTTTCATCTGATTAATTTAAAAAATATCTGTAGAACCATAAAACATGAAATTCCATTACATTTTGGCCCTAAGAGTATAAGATGTAAAACATTGAACTATTATTTAATATAGTGATAAGCAAGCCGCATATTCTACAGGTCAAAATCTTGGTGCTTAGCATAGTAAATCACACAGCAAGCCCATAGAAAAGGGGATTTGGTGAGTCCATAAATTCCATTAGTTCAAATGGGCCTACTGTAACTGTAACACCTATGGCAGTAAATTACCACTCACCAGCAAGGTACAGTACTAGTTACTGTATTTTTCTCTCTGTAAGACACACTTTTCCCCCCAAAAAAATGTGTGGGGGGGAAGTGTATGCATCTTATGGATCGAAATCACCACCTTCAGGGACTGTTTTAAGGCTTGGGAAGCTTCAGAAGAGTCCCTGAAGGTGGTGATTTCGCTCCTTCTGGCCCCATGGGGGTGAGGGGGCAGGGTGAGCCTCCAAAGGGTCCTAGGGTGTGCTCCATAAGACGGACCTTTCCATAAGGCTCACCAAATTTTTAGGAGAAGAAAACAGATTTTTATTTTCCTGTTTGCTTCTCCTAAAAATTTCGTGCGTCTTATGGAGAGGTGCGTCTTATGGAGCAAAAAATACAGTAGGTGTTTTTCTGGAACTCTCCGGCTTTCTCCATAATCCAGCGCATGTTAGCAATTTGGTCTCTAATTCCTCTGGTCCTTCAAAATCCAGCTTGTATTTCTGGGAGTTCTCAGTCCACATACTGCTGAAGCCTGCCTTGGAGGATTTTGAGCATAACCTTGCTAGCGTGTGAAATGAGTGCAGTTGTACGGTAGTTGGACCATTCTTTGGCACTTTCCTTCTTTTGGATTGGGATGTAGACTGATCTTTTCCAGTCCTCTGGCCATTGCTGGGTTTTTGAAACTCGGTGGCATATTGTGTGTAGTACCTTAACAGCATCATCTTTTAGGATTTTAAATAGTTCTTTGGGATGGTTTTTGTTGCTGCCTCCTGTACAGTGTTACGAGCCTCCATCCATAGTTCTTCAGGCACTCTGTCCACCAAATCGAGTTCCTTCAATCTGTTCTTCATTTCCACTGTGTATTCATAAGGGATTTGCTTTAGATTTACCTGACTAGCTCAGTGGTTTTTCCTACTCTCTTGTGTTTAAGCTTGAATTTTCCTATGAGAAGCTGATGATCAGAGCCGCAGTCAGCTCCAGGTCTTGTTTTTGATGACTATATTGAGCTTCTCCATCTTTGGCTGCGGAGAACATAATCAATCTGATTTCGGTATTGCCCATCTGGTGATGTCTATGTGTAGAGTCACTTCTTGTGTTGTTGGAAAAGAGTGTTTATGATGACCAGTTTGTTCTCTTGACAAAACTCTCTTAGCCTTTGCCGTGCTTCATTTTGAACTTGAAGGCCAAACTTACTTGTTGTTCCTTTTATCTCTCGACTGCCTACTTTAGCATTGCAGTCCCCTATAATGAAAAGAATATGTTTCTTTTGTGTCAGTTCTAGAAAGTGTTGTAATTCTTCATAGAATTGGTCAATTTCAGCCTCTTCAGCATCGGTGGTTGGTGCATAAACTTGGATTACTGTGATTTTGAAAGGTCTGCTTTGGATTTGTATTGAAATCATTCTATAATTTTTGAGATTGTATCCCAGTACAGCTTTTCCCACTCTTTCGTTGACTATGAGGGCTACTCTATTTTTACAATACTTACTGTAGTTAACTTTAAACATTGTCTTTTAAGGACATAATCCACCTTGGGTTCTTTTTAAGGAGACAGATGGGGTAAAATACTTTAAATAAATGAAATAAATAAATAAATAAATATTCAATCTTGAGACATATGAAGGGTGCCAAGACTATTTCCTGGTTTTTTTCCAGGAAAAATAATCAATCAGGCAGAGACAGAGAGATCCAATAGATATTTATTTTTTTATAGCTGATAGCAAGCAATGAGTAAGGGGAGGCAAAGGATCAGAAGCAGGAGGAGGAAAGGAGGGTTTGCGGACGTCATCCCTCCCAGTTCTGGGAGGCCCGGTTTCTTGTTCTTTCCTTCCCGGCCTCTCTCGGCATTAGGCCCCTCATCCGTCCCTGCTGGCTATGCCAAGTGATTTGGGTAGACCTAGGTGGGAGAAGACAATCTGCCAAGTATCAAGGTCCCAAACCGTTTAGGGCTTTGTACGTCATCATTAGCATCATTTGTACGAAATCAATGCGACAACATATGGGCAACCAGTGCAGAGCAGCCAGAGTGGGGGAGATATGCTGATATCTTCCCACCCCACTAAGAAGCTTGGCTGCCGCATTCTGCACCATTTGAAGTTTCCGCATCAGTCTCAAAGGCAGCCCCACGTAGAGTGTGTTACAATGGTCTAATCTCGAGATTACGAGCACATGGACAAGATTAGTGAGGGCCCCCATCAAGATATGGTCGCAGCTGGGCAATCCGCCATAGGTGAAAATAGGTGGAACAGGCCACGGATGCCACCTGGGTTTCCATGGTAAGTGCCGGGTCCAGATGTATCCCCAAGCTGCGAACCTCGCTCTTTGCGGTAAGGGTCATTCCCTCAAAAGAAAGGGAGTCACCCAGACCGCTGATGGAGGGACCACGCACCCTCAAGACCTCCGTCTTGTCCGGGTTCAGCTGCAACATGTTTGTTTTCTTATGCTTTTGCAATGGTTCATGCATGCTTCTCTTGCTTTTTTGCTTCGTTCTCTTTGCATTTCTGATCTGCTCTGTTTGTTTTCTTATGCTTTTGCAATGGTTCATGCATGCTTCTCTTGCTTTTTTGCTTCGTTCTCTTTGCATTTCTGATCTGCTCTGTTTGTTTTCTTATGCTTTTGCAATGGTTCATGCATGCTTCTCTTGCTTTTTTGCTTCGTTCTCTTTGCATTTCTGATCTGCTCTGTTTGTTTTCTTATGCTTTTGCAATGGTTCATGCATGCTTCTCTTGCTTTTTTGCTTCGTTCTCTTTGCATTTCTGATCTGCTCTGTTTGTTTTCTTATGCTTTTGCAATGGTTCATGCATGCTTCTCTTGCTTTTTTGCTTCGTTCTCTTTGCATTTCTGATCTGCTCTGTTTGTCTGCTCTTGTTTTTGCAATGGTTCATGCATGCTTCTCTTGCTTTTTTGCTTCGTTCTCTTTGCATTTCTGATCTGCTCTGTTTGTTTTCTTATGCTTTTGCAATGGTTCATGCATGCTTCCCTTGCTTTTTTGCTTTGTTCTCTTTGCTGGGGTCTGAAATGCATTTTAGTCTTTTGCTTTTGAAGACAGATATGGTTTTGCAAAGGTTTCTTTGGCTGCTGTGGTCTAAAAGGCATTTTAGTCTTGTGCTTTTAAAATCAGAAATGTTTTTCCAAAGGTTTCTTCTGGTGGCTGCTGGGGTCTACAATGCATCCCCCTAGTGGTAGAGGATGGATTAACTGGCTTTGCATTAGTTCCTTTGGGAACGAATGCTTTGACTTACGAACCGTGCCTTGACATAAGAACAAAAGACAGCCAGAATGGATTAATCGGTTTTCAATGCATTCCTATGGGAAATGCTGCTTTGACTTACAAACGTTTTGACTTACAAACACCATTCCAATATGGATTAAGTTCGTAAGTCAAGGCACCACTGAGAGAATTGTTGATGAATTGCTTATGAATAATGTGTATCTGAAGAACTTCTCTTATTATTCAATCTGCTTCACTCCAATAAATAAATTCTGTTTCTGTTCACAAGACAATTGTTCTGACCTGATTTTGCTGCTGTAATCCAAACCCCATTCCAGCAAAGAGTATTTCTTGTTGCTCTCCTTCACTTCTTTATGTCTCCTAGAAGAACCGGGAAACTACTTCTGCTTTTCCCTCTCGCTAGGTGCAGCATGTGGTTTGCACAGGGAGGCAGACCTCAAAACATGGGTTGCCTGTGTGTGGTGCCTTCCTGCTCCTACCAGCAGTTGCTGGTGTCTCAAGCTATATAACCGTTAGATCATTTTTTTGTTTCTGTTGAACGTATGAAAGGCCCTGTCATTAACAACCCTGACAAGCTATATAACCGTTAGATCATTTTTTTTGTTTCTGTTGAACTTATGAAAGGCCCTGTCATTAACAGCCCTGACAATCTGCTTCACTCCAATACTTTACTGAGTCAATCTATATCACACTCAGTCTTCTTCTTCTTCTTCTTCTTCTTCTTCTTTTTTTTTTTTTTGCAGCTTTCAAGTTTTCCCAGTCTTTTGAAGTCTTATCATGATATGCCCAAAATACAACAGTTTTTTCAAGGCTTGATTTGATTTCAGAACCAATTATTTCTCTTGGTTTAGCTTTGATCAGGATCAAGTGAATAGGGAGAGCAAACAGGAATTTGACAGGGGAGTTTGAGGGGGGGGAGGCCCCTGATAATTTCCCCCCTCTAATTTGGCTTTTGTATACAGTGGGGTCTTGACTTGAGAACTTAATCCGTATTGGAAGGCGGTTCTCAAGTCAAAAAGTTCTCAGGTCAAATCTGCCTTTCCCCTAGGAATGCATTGAAAACCATTTGATCCGTATCTGCTCTTTTCCGTCCATAGAAACTAATGGGAAGCTGCTATTCTGCCTTCGACTACTAGAGGGGGATATTTCGTTTCTTTTTTTCTTAGGTCAAGAAAGGTTCAGGGAAGGAAGGGAAAATACAGTCCAGGCAGGACAGTACCAGGCAGTCCGAAGACTGTCTCCCAATCCACTCTAAACGCTGGGAGGAGTGAGGAAGCAGACAGGCACCCTTTTCACTAGCCAACAGTTAACTGAAAGTTCGCATTTTGCACTTTCCCTGCCTCCCACTTGGGTTTTTTTCAGTTCTTAACTCAAATCTAAGTACGTAAGTCAAGTCAATATTTTCCTATGAGAGCGGTTCTTAAGTCAAAATGTTCTTAACTCGAGCCGTTCTTAAGTCAAGACCCCACTGTATAATGATATATTAGTGGATTTTCCCAGGAGCCTTTAGGACAGACAAGACAAAGTAAAGGGCACTCAAAGACAAACAGAAGAAAGCCAAAAGGCAACAGAAATTATAGAGAGGAGAGACACTTCAGTGGTGGTGACTTGCAAGCTTTGTGCCATGTTTATCTTAATGCCAGAGAACAACACAGCATATACATGCAGCGAGTGCAAACTGGTAGCAATTTTGGAAGAAAAAAAGCAAAAGTAGAAGGGAGTGGCCAGGCTTAAGGCTATAAGAGAAGATGATGAGTACCTAGACAGAGCTTCCAACAGAAGCAGGAGTCGCAGGGGGCACTGGAGGCGGAAGAACAGCAAGGGAAAGCAGTGGAGAAGAATGTTGAGGAGAGAACAAACAGTTCAGGAAGCACCATGGAAAAGTGTCACAGTTAGGAACAAAAGAAGAAGATACTTTTCATCAGTGGAACAACAAAACCACTTTCAGACAAACAGGGGACCCCATGGAAGGCCATGAGAAAGGCTGAAGCTCAGCAAAACACAGCCATTGACCATACAGATAAAAAGAAGACGAGAAGAGTAGGAGACTCCCTACTGCATGTAATTGAAACTCTCATTTTGACAAGGTTTTGGGAACAGCAGAAGAATTCAAAGATGAGTGGATTTAGAACCTTAGGCTTCTGATAAGCTGGTCCTCTCACCAACTTTTGGAGTACAGTGCAACACTATATGATTTATGAAAAACATATTTAAGCTTCAGTGGAAGCAGTGACTGGCACTCAGTTTGTTTATTTATTTAAAATATTTTTACTCTGTCTTCCTTCTTAACAACAAACAGATCAGATAAGAACCAGCACTTTGAATTGTGCCTGGAAACAGATCAGTAGCCAGTAGAGCTGCTATAACAGGGGGCTTATGTGATCCCTGAAACCAGTCTCAGTTAACTATCTGGTTGCAGCGTTCTGGACCTGCTGAAGTTTCTGAACACATTCCAAAAACAACCCCACATAGACTGTGTTAACGTAATCTAGCTGGGATGCAACTAAGGCATGTGTTGCTCTCTAGGAATGGACTGAGCTGGTGCATTAGTTTTATTTCTTCAAATGAACTCCTGGGCATCCAGGCTCAGAGACGAATCCGGGAGTACCTGCAAGCTACACAGCTGAGTTTTCTGAGGGAGTGTAACCCCATCCAGCATAGGCTGCATCTCTGTTCCTTAATCTGTCTTTTAATTGACCAGATTAAGTTTCAGTTTATTCACCCTCATCCAGTCCATTACTGATACCAGGCACTGATCTAGAGATGAAACAGCTTTCTTGGATTTAGATGGAAAGGAGGTTGGATGTCATCTGCATATTGGTGACATCGGACCCCAGAACCCTGAAGCTCTCCCAGCAGCTTAACATCTAAACAACATAGGGGGCAAAACAAAAACTTGATCGACCCCATAGGCCAATGGCAGGGGGTGCTGAACAAGAGTCCCTCAGTACCACCACCTGAGTTCTCCCTTCCAGGAAAGACTGGAACCAGCATAGAACAGTGTCTTCATGTCCCATTTCAGAGAGATGGCCCAGAAGAATAACATGTTCTATGGTATCAAAAGCTTCTGAGATATCCAGCAAAACCAACCAGGACACACACACCCCAGTCCAGTTCCCATGGTGGGTCATCTACCAAGGAACCAAATAAATCTCCATCCCATAACCAGGTCTGAAGCCAGATTGAAATAGATCTAGATAACTTATCTCATCCAGCAACCCCTGGAATGGAGAAGCCATGACTCGCTGCAGCACCCTGCCCAAAAATCATTAGAGACTTCTCAGTAATTGTTCAGTATTGTGGAATCTAAGGTGTTGTAGAATTTTTAGCAAGGGCCTTACTATTGCCTCCTTTAAGCAAGCCGGGATTCTAATCTGTTGCAAGGAGACATTCACCACTCTTCCTAACCACTCAACCAGTCCCTTTCTGGTAGCTTTTATAAGCCAGGAATGGCAAGGGTCCAGTAGACAATGTAGTAGTCTCCATCTCTCCAAAGGTCCTGTCCGCATAATCAGCTGCAAATATCCCTGTCTTCCCTTACTGCCCCTGTACTCTCATTCTCACAGAAACACATTTCTCCATGAGGAAACAAAGACCAAAGTTAACCACCTCTCTCAGGAACATCAAAGAGAGTTGTAGCTCACTGGTTTAAAGCACCTGAAGAGGAGGAGCCAAACATAAAAACAGTTAAAGGGCTCAGCTGTTTTAGTACCTGAGTCCTCATCTTTTTTCCCCTAGCACTCCACTCACCCACAACATGAAACATAATTAGCAAAGTAGAAACAGAACTATCAATCAAAGTACATGATACTACATTAGTTTCCCAAATCTATAGAAGAGTTCTTGAATATGATGTACAAGACTGTCTTCATGCCATGATTATTATCTTTAAAAACACTGCAAATGTAATTGAAGCATTAAATAAGAAGGTAATTTAATGTGGAAAGTGCACCTGACCCTTCATTTTATCCTAGGTAACCATGAAGGAGAGGAGTATTTAAAAATAAGGAAAGCAACCCCAAGGAATGTAGGCATGCCAAGGACTTTAACCCAGAAGGCAGTGGAAGAGTGTTGGGGAGGGCTAACTATGATCCGAGTCTTCAGTGGCTTTAGAACACGGTCCCACTGGGTTAGGATCATGCTTCTGGCCTTCTCCCACTTTCCAGGTCCAGTCAGGCGATACTGGTAAGCTGTGCAGGGCCCAAACAAAACCTCCAAGGCTAGCTTGGGGTCTAGAAAGAAAAGCAGTGGCACATTGGGTTTAACGCCTATGCAAGCAGCTACTTCATCCATGTAGGCAACAAAATTCATCTTTGCGCTGTCCTTCTCGCAAGGAAAACCCCTAAAGTAGGAAAGAAATGGAAAGAGTTTCAGGCTACCAAGTGGAATGTATTTCCCTGTTTTGCAGCTTAGTGTAGACAATACCCTTGTTTCAGCTGTATGTTGGGAAGTAGTTACTGGGAAAATGTGGGGCTAGCGCCATCCCCTTAACAAGCAAGAAAATATCAGTAACAATGCCATCTCATCTGCCTCTACAAGGTCTCAACTCCACAGGCCTCTTTCCTGTAGAATGGAATACAGCAATAGTAGTACCTTTATTTAAAAAAGGACTAAGAGATGAGCCGGCAAACTATCGCCCTATTAGTCTCTTAAATATATGCAGTAAACTATATGCTAGGCATCTGCAGGACAAATTTGAGACCTGGTTGATTGAAGAAAATAGGATTGCTGTAGAGCAAGCCGGTTTTAGAGAGGGTAGATCCACTATGGACCAATTTCTGATTATTCAACATCTTATAGAGAAATATGCAACAAAAGGTCCAACTTCATTATATGCTGCATTCGTCGACTTGAAAATGGCTTTCGATTCAATCTCGAGACAGCAACTATGGGACAGTTTAGAAGCCACCTCAATAGATAAATGATTACTTCTATTGTTGCGTGTGCTACACAATAATACCAATCTTAAGGTCAGGCTCAATAGGAAAGGGAATTTAACAGAACCAATTAATACCTATAGAGGAGTCAGACAGGGCTGCTTACTGGCCCCCTCATTATTTAATTTATATATAAATGACATAGTAGAACATCTGAATTCGCCTAGTCTTCATTCTCCAAAATTACAACAAAGACATATTTCTATCCTTCTCTATGCAGATGATGCCGTGCTTCTAGCGAGAACGCCAGTTGGCCTAAAGAGAGCCCTTAAGAAATTTGCAGACTTCTGCAGAAAGAAGGAATTAGAAATAAATTATAAAAAGACAAAAATCATGGCCTTTGGTAGAAGACAAGGTCTTCAATGACCATACTGATGAAGAGTTTTGCAGGACTCATAAGCTTGCTTGTTTAAGATGTTTTAGTGGTCTAGTAAATTTACCCTTGATTTTGTCCTTGTACAAAAGACCACACTGCTTCTTCCCCCCACTCTGCTTTTCTGTTTGTTTGTTTGTTTGTTTGTTTGTTTGTTTGTTTGTTTGTTAAGCAGTTGCCAGAGATCTCAAAGTTGAGAGGATCAGAAACTCCTGTTATGGCAAAGATGCCTCACACAGAAGTCTTAATCCACCAAAATCCAACACAGACTGTTCAGTTGCTGGCACGCAATCAGTTTGCAATGAGGTAGTTGTGCTGGTCTGTTTCAGAATGCGTAAGAAAAATAAAAACAAAAGAGTTGTGGCACATTAAAAAGTAACAGGTATATTTCAGTATATGTTTTCATTGGCTTACAACCCACTTCCTCAGACACATGAAGCATAAGAGTTAGGCCACAGGTGAGATACACAGGATGAAATTGAATAGTGAATTGCAACCTGAGTAGGTCCATTAAATCAGTAGAATTTATGGAGGAGTTAACTCACCAGATGCTTAGTGACTGAATGGGCCTACTGTATACAACTTGCTACAGGATTTCAGCCATTAAGTACCGTATTTTTCGCTCCATAAGACACACCTTTCCATAAGACGCACCAATTTTTTAGGAGAAGAAAACAGGAAAATATAATATGTTTTCTTCCCTCCATAAGACGCACAGACTTTCCACCCCCCTGTTTTGTGGGGAAAAAGTGTGTCTTATGGTGCGAAAAATACGGTACATTTATCGAGGGGTTAGGACCAAGTGGGTTGGGAAAAAGAGTGTGGAAATTACAATAGTAATGGGTTTGTGTGTGTTGCCATTTCTGATAACATGGCATCAGAGATGGCAGTGCACAAAACCCAACCACCAAAGGCCTCTAAAGAGACTACATGGATCGGGATTGCTGCCTGTGGCATCTTTGCCCTAGTAGCTGACCCAACACATCTTGATAGCTCTGGCAATGCTCATTTGTGGTCTTTGTGCAAAATCCTAAATGAGTGGATGTTCTGGACCAGTAAAATATCAAAGCCAAGCACTCTGTTGAGTCCTGCAAGACTTTTCATCAATCTGGACACTGCAGAGCTTGTGGTGGGGGAACTAACCATTTTACAGGCTAAATCTGGAGGCCATTCACACCTAAGGCCTCACTAGACAAGATGCTGATTGTGCTTCTTGAAACACTGTAGCCATAAAGATGAAAAGACTATCTGGCTGTTCGTGCAAGCTTGTGGAAAATGTGTAGGTCTGGAAGAATAATGCAGGAAAGATATATTTACATGTGGTATGATCACTAAAGATCAGTCTGAGATGTGTTGGTAGTATCAGGGTTCACTTTGAGGGATGTTGCCTCAGTTTCTTCTTCCATTTCCATAAACAAAGGGATGACAGCCACTCAGTGACTCCTCCATTGCCTTTTGTTGAAGCAAATGGCTTTGATCTGCTCCCCACAGTTGGTGGGTCTATAATGACTCTTGCTTTGTCTTTTGTCTTATTATCAATGCTCTCTTTGGTTTACTCTGTTTATAGAGCACGTGTAGCCTAAGGTGCCAGCACTGAGCACACTCCTAGACTATGGCAGAGAAGAAATGGAACAGTTGAAAATGATCTTTTAAGAAGTAACACAAGAGTCTTCTATCTGAAAGGACCCCTGCAGGTCAGGTGTGCTGGAAAATATTCTCTCTAGCCACATGATGGCACTGCATCTCTGGAAGAAAAACTAGTCTGCTACAGACAAACAGTATAGCATTGTACAGTACAGAGAAGTCCTAATTCCATTCTCTAGTTCATGAAGCACTGGTACTAATAAAGGCTGTAGAGAAGAAATTCTGGATTCTCAGTCTCACTGCAAGGGTGGGGAGGTCATTTATAAGAGATATGTGACCTCTATACCCCTAGCTATGGTGCTATATCACATAACCTTGGCATAATATTTGTATTTGACCGCTGATTTCAGGTGCTTTTTTAATTTGCTTCTTTTTGAAGTAGGGTAATCTTAGCGCTGAACAAATCATTACAACCTTTAATATGATAAGCACAAGAATATGTAGCATTTCATACTTTCTGAAGAGAGCCTTCCTTCGTTTGTCAACTTCACCCATCAGTTTGTTCACTGGAGGGAGCTTACATGACCCTGAATATAAGAAAGATAAATTAGAGGCATAAAGATCTGTATTTCAAGCAAAACAATCAGTACCCTTGTGCTTTGATTTAAATTCATGGGACTGTTAGTCTTCATAATGACATTACCACTCAGAATCTGATGACATAATTTTGAAAATTCAGTCTGTGTTCCTGTGGACGTTTACTTGACATTCTTTGCCCTAGTTTCCTAAAGTCCTTTGAAGATTTTACCCCTGCCTCATCATGAACCTTTATAAACTCTTTCATTTTCCCTGAGTTACTGATCTCACTATGAAGAACAATGTTATATGAGCCATATTATATAATGGTTGAAATTATGAAGTATACTTTTTGCTGATGTTCCTCTATAGTTCTTGTATATTATTGGCTGAAATCCTGTTGCTTAACATAAGGATAGTGTCCGCAGCTTGGGGATCCATTTGGACCCGGTGCTCTCCATGGAGTCACAGGTGGCGTCGGTGGTCCGCACCGCCTTTTTTCACCTTAGGCGGATAGCCCAGCTGCGGCCCTACCTGGATGTGGGGGCGCTCACCATCTTAGTACACGCGCTCGTAATCTCAAGATTAGACCACTGTAATGCGCTCTACGTGGGGCTTCCTTTGAGGTTGCTGCGGAAATTACAGGTGGTGCAGAATGTGGTGGCCAGATTACTCAGTGGAGTGAAAAAATTCCAACATATTTCGCCCACTCTGGCCACACTGCATTGGCTGCCCATCAGGTTCCGCATCGACTTTAAAGTGCTAACGCTTACGTACAAAGCCCTAAACGGTTTAGGGCCTCGATACTTGGCGGAACGCCTACTCCCACCAAGTTCTACCCGGGTCACACGGGCGAGCCAGGAGGTGAGGCTGAGGAGCCTAACGCCGAGGGAG